CTTCTCATTCCTTTTATATATAGAAGATGCATTTAAGTGCATGTATGCCTGTATATACAAAATGCCTTCCAAATGCTTATTTCCCTGAAAGAATTTATTTTATAATTCTCTAAAGGAGTTTAAAAAGTAACAGTTGATACTCAATGCCAAGCATATGTCATGGCATTATGCTGTAGGCGCCATCGATTCAGAATGACCCTGTATACAGCAGAATGAGACACTGCCCAGCCCTCGGCCAACTTTCACAGCCTTTGCTCATTTTCCTTTGCTGCATGGGAGCCCACTACTCTAGGCATCTCAATGAAAATAGTCCCCCAGTCGAGCTGAGCCTATCCTATACCAAGCATGCTGCTCTTCTCCAAGGAGAGTGCTTCCTGATAACATGTCCAAGTGTATGAGTTCAAGCCTCGCCATGCTCACTTCTAAGCAGCATGCTGGCTGTAGTTTTTCAGACCCATATTTGTTCATAGTTTGTAGTTTATTCAATATTCTTTGCCAACGCCATAATTCAAAGGCATCAATTGTTGTTTCATCTTCCTTATTGATTGTCTAGTGTTTGCATACATTTGAGACAATTAAAAGTAACCATAGCTTGGACCTGGCTCACCTTATTCCTCAGAGTGATGTCTTTGTTCTTAAACACTTTAAAAGTTCTTTTGTAGCAGGTTTGCCCAATATGTCGTTGTACTTTTTTTATTATTAAATCCTTTCATTGAAGGCTCTTACAGTTCTCATCCCAACACAGCCGGCAGCACCATAGACAGGAGAACAACTAGGGTACTGACAAGGTGCCAAGCACACTGGTACATTTGTTGCCATCATCATTTTCAAAGTATTTTCTTTTTACGTGAGCCCTTGGTATCAGCTCCTCATTTTCCCCGCCCTCCCCTATGCTCCCTCCTTCATGAACCCTTGATAAATTATACATTATTCTTCCCCCTCCATAGCCCCTTAATAGATTATAAGTTATTATTATTGTCATCTCTCATGCTGACTGCTGTCTCCATTCCCTTGTGTTTTCTGTTGTTCTTCCCCCTGGAGGGGGCTGTATGGATATGTATCAGTCATTACAACCAGTTCCCCCTTTCTCCCTTCCTCTCCCCCTCTTCCCCCTACCCTTCTGGTCTCACTATCCCACTCCTGTTGCTGGATTCTGTGTGTCATGAGCTCCCATCCCTTTCTATACCCGTGTCCATGTTCTGGTCTAGTCTGAATCGAGAAGCCGCACTGGGGTCATGGTTGTGGGGGTCATGGTAGTGGGGGGTGATCAGACCTACTGCGGGTTAGGCCCGGGGGCCCTGGGTAGCTGCCAGGAGGGATCAGAGCCTATAGGTAGACTTGCCGAACCCTCTCACTTGACCTCTGGGACACCAGACTCCCGGAGCTCCCGGATGGCTGCTTACCTGGGCACCATCTGGAAGCTCTTTCTGTCAGCACACTTTTTGACTGTTGTTTCCATCATTGTTGATTGCAGACCCAAGTGAGACAGAATCGTTAACTTCGGTCTTTTCTCTCTTTGTCATGATGTGGCTCCTGAATGTGTTAGAAACGTGGTTAAATCAGAAATAACTTCAGAGGATTTTACTAGGCTGTGTTAAACTCACGTATATGTACATAACGGGTAAATA